GAGAGACATTAATTATATTATAAACATGATCTTCAGTCTTCAGTGTGACAGTATTTATATTTATATTTATATTTATAATCAGTGTGAACTCAGCAGAACTTCAGTATATATATTTAAATATGATTACATCATCTTACAACATAATTAAACTTTAATAAACTTTAAAAGCAGAACTGAGTTCATTTACTGAATAAAGACTCAGTGAGACAGCAGCTCAACGCTTCTGTTACACACAAACAAACAAACACAAACAGACACAAACACAAACACACACAAACACAAACAGACAGATTAAAAAACACACACAAAAACACACACACCATGATGATGACACAGACCAAGGAAAGAGAAACATATTGATAACAAATTAAAGAGATGTACTTCCTGTAAGATTAATCCCAAAGAGATACGATAAGCTTTTACTTGTATTATTGGACATCTTTAAACACATAAGTAACGTGTTGTTAATGTAAAGGATGCAGTTATTATTTTAAATCAGGTGAACAACTATGAATGCATCCACTGCAGTGAAATCTAGTCACTCAAAATCAGTCTGTTATGCAAAATATTCAATCTGAATTATGTCCTTTTGAGTATTATTGTGCCCCAAAATTCATTTTTATATATTTAAAATGAAAAACAAATAAATGTGGGATTATTTAAATCTGTTTCCAATACAAAATAATGTGCTTTTCACATATTCAATATCTTGAAAAGAAGACAGGATAAGGCTTGATTGATCTAAAATCTCTCTAAACATCGTCTTCTCACTTCTCAGCTGTCAAAACTCACATGAGCAAACGATGAGTTGACAAAAATGTTGATACAATTATCTGAGTCGCCTTCAGTTTTTACCGTGGGGTCAGAGCTATAAACCTGAGGCGCCCTGGGTTTGGCCTCTCAGGTTACATACATTCTGTCCTGTCTTCTTTGGCTGAACCCAAATGTCCAGACTCTGGAAGTCTGCGAGTACTGAGGGCTGTCCAAACCCACAATTCATCCGGTCCAAAGGGGCCACAAAAGGACTTAAAGCAGACTCCCAGAATCTGCTTTAGGTGCAGATTTCACTGATTTAATTCAAGGATGTGCCCAGTTGTATTATAAATGTGTAAAATAATTACTTTATGAAAACATTAGTTAAATCGTGTAGGCTTGAAATAATATCCAACCACAATAAATAGAGTTGTAGAGTACAGAGGCTGTCCTAATCAATCAGAATCCATTTTTATTATTGGAGTCTTTAAGTGATGGTAGCCTTTAACAGCTGTGCAGTGTAATGCCTCGTATGTATGCTAACATGATTGATTGGGTCAGGTGAAACAACCCTCGACCTCTGCTATCACGTAAGGATTAGACGGATTACATAAGCAAGTGCTGCATCACCCTTGTTATCATCATCTTCCTCTCGCAGGGTGAAACCTTACTGCTGTGCTGCCCATGTTTAAGATTGATTTTTCCTAATTTCCTGCAGCAAACGCCAAACTTGGCTGGTTTAACCACTCCTACAGATCATGTAAGATTAGATCTACAGGGCAATTAGCTTTTTTGAGCAACTTTTGGTGAATTAAAGTTGTGCTTTGCTGCAGCATTCCTCAACATTGGGTAGGTTTTTCAAATCATATCTGAATTAGTGCTGCCACCAATCATCAAAATATAATATGCAATATGCAAAGCTGCAGTTTTTTCATAAAGGCAAAATGTGTGACGGAACAGGATTATAATGGAGCCCTACAGTTTGGTACAGACCCCAGAAAAAAATCACAATTTAGCAGTTTACAATATCTTTACCATATCGTGCAGCTCTAATCTGAATGAACTCTCTCTCTCTCTTACCTCTCTCTGGTGAATGAAGGGCGGCTGAAGAGTTGGAGAGCTGTTTGTTGATTGGCGGATCCATCGCGGGTGGAGACAGGAAGTCACTAACTGATTTAAAAAACAACAAAACACACAAATCACTCACACAGACACAAACATGACACAAATAAAAGTCCTCACAGCTGCTGGATCGCTGGAGGATGATGTAAATGTCACAAATATGTTTAATAAACGCCCCGATTCCAAAACAAAAAGCCCATCACCCGACACACAGAAAACTGCCAGCTCACACAGAAAACAATCCTGCTGATCAATAAGCCGTGCTGCTGCTGAATAAATTAACCTTGGTGATGTAAGACAGAAATGAAGCAGCAGAATAGAGAGCAGAGAAAGCTGCAACCTGCTTCATCATGAAATGGAGGATGAGGATACAGAGGCAGCCACTGCAGTCCCATGAAACTGAGAGGAAAGTGTTTCATACGGCACCTGAAGGCACCGTGACAACATCCACAGAGAGAGAAGGAAGGGAAAGAAAAGCCAGGAAGACTCAGTGTGTGCATGCACGCTATAATAATCTGATTTAAGTTTCTACAAGGCGTTCACTTGATCTGTCTGGAGGGATGTTTCTAGTGCTACAAACTGATAATAATGTAGCGTATTGTTGTCTTTCCAGACCTTTAAGAATAAATACATTAGAAAATACAGGTAATAAAAGGAAGAAAAATGGCATCAACTGTTAAGAAGACTTTTTTTTTTAATGTCTAGTGTCATGTTGTTTACTTGAAAGACAATTTTCAAAATAAATTTGACAAAATAAGACAGAAAACGTGTTTACATGGCAGCTCATGTAAACCTCATTATTGTGTTAACTTAATTCTATTATAATCAGATTTTTCTAAACAATTGTATTAGTGTTAATATGATCAAAAAGTATTTCTGTTCTATAATCTGATTATTATATTGTGTGCATGTAAACACACTGAGAGGCTGAGATAATATATCAATGATGTTTTAAAGAACATAAATGGTAAGTGAAGATAACACTTTTTGCACAATAACAAGTTTTTTACTGGCTTGAGTTTTGGCTTCTTTTCCCTTCTGAAGATCTTCTGCATCTAGTAATTTTGCATCAGTGCTGCAGGGATTTTTTTCTTATATTCAACAAAGAAAACTGTCAAATTAAAAAACAGCATTCTTATGTCCTCAAGTTTCAGTGAAATTCCTCTCAGGTTTACAGCAAAAGTACAAAAAAAAACAACATATTTCTGCAGTGGCATCTTCTGTAATACGGGACGGTGATGATTGCAAATGTGTGTGTGTGTGATTGGATTGTGTGTAGGTGGGGTCTAATAAGTTTCCCAGATAGCTACAGGGTAAATGTCTGGTATAAATGTATGAAGTTTGTGTGTGTGTGCAGAGGGGCAGGGTGGGTTCAGACTGGGTTCCCTGCTGAGAATGAAATCTATGCATCACTAAACACGGCCCTGGGCCAGGAAGACAGAAAGTGGAGCAGCCCTTTGTTGTGATGAGGGTGTGTTTGTGTGTTTGTAGTGGGGGGGTTCAAAACCAGACACTCATTAGCCACAAAGGACCACATAAGTATCCGGTATGTGCTGTGAACTGTTGATGACAATGAGCTGAAATAAACACAGTAAACATACAGTCAGTGTTGGAGGTCACACATTTGTTTGTATTGTATTTTTCATTTTTTCTTTTTTTAAAACTACAGATTTAGCTTGTGTTTAGTAATAAAAAATAGTATTTTGGGGGGACTTTTTGATCATTATTTAATAAACAACATATCTTATCTTATCTTATTATATATATGTGGTTTTTCCACTCGTGTGACTCATGTGCATGGATACACATAGTTAGCAGAGTCACCAAATCAGGTCAGAATAGTAAAATATAAACAGTAATTATTTATAATATGTAAATATCATACAGTTGATATTAAGACAAGAGCACTGAGGAGACAGATGGAGCGTATTTAAAATATTCCACAGTACAAATTTAAAATCAGCAGCTTTTTATGCAGACGACAACACACTGTTGACCTACTGTACATGTGCTTCAATAAATAGCAGAGCTTCACACTTGAATCATATTTTAAGGTATTTTTTGGCTCAAACCTTTTATCTTAACAAGTGATAAACGGCAAAAGTCAATTTGCTTCACAATATTTCTGTTTTACAGACATTTTTCTGCATCTGCAAGTCGGTCCACATTTTCTTTCCGTCAACATGCTTGCCCCTAACATTAATATTTGTACTCAGATTTACCAAACTAGACTGTACTGTAAGACATAAAGGGCAACAGAAATGTGTAATTCCATCTAAAAAACTAACTCTTCGATTCGGTTGGATTTGTAGATGACACATTGGAGGAGAAACCTGTGAGAACTACAGTTACCCAGATACCCTTTTGCTGAATCTCTATGCAGAGATTGTTATATATTTCCATCATCTGTGAAGCATGTTGTGGTATTTACTCAAAGAAAATACTAAATATATTGAGAAAAATCAGATAAAGAAGATTTTAGAAGCAAATTTCCCCAACACTGCACTGAACTCATCACCACACAGAACACACACTCCAGGACGATAAAACAGCCGATGTGACGGTGCAAAGACGTCCACGCACATGCAGACAGAGGAACAGCTGCAGGATTCGTGGTGGGGGGAGCGGTATGAACGTGGCACACAGAGTCATGTGGTCTGTACCGTTACGGGATTGGCTGGCGCTGGAAGCAGCAGGAAGCTCATTGGGCTGAGCGGAGCCAATGGCATTGCAGGGCGGGGTCTTAGGGTTACCTGGGCAGCAGGTGAAGCAGAGCGGAGAAAGCAAAGCATTACACATTCACACGTCTATGTGTAGACACACACACACACACACACACTTGCATCACTAACACAAGATATACAAACAACCTCCATCCTCACACAGTGACAGCAGACACATCTGACACACACCAAACTCTACACGAGATTCCCAGCAGGAAGTTGCCACATCCAAACCTTATTATGTCAAATCATCATCAAAGTCAAAGCAAGACTGTAGAAGCAACATGAATGATCGGAGCTGAGGGACAATTGTACCAACACAGAGTGAAACATCATGCAGAAACGCTGTGAGTGTAACACTAAAGCTGATGCACCAGATGGTTTGTTACACAGACCCATCTGTGCTTGAAAAAAACACTGACAAATGATTGGATGAACAAGTCGGGGAGAAGAGTGAAAACCATCAATAAAAGCCTTCAGTGTCGTTCTTTGCTTTGCTTTTAATGCAGAAATACTCTCCAGTTGTGGTATAACTGATGCTAGCATCATCTACTCTAACTTCTTCAGCAGCTTCCATTGTTGTTTTTGAACCAACAGAACCACTGTATAATTAAAAATGGACGTAGTCTCCGTGACGTCACTCAAAGGTTTTTGGAGAGCCGTTACGAAGCTCGGTGCGGTCGGCTCTGGCCATCACCATCTTGGCAGTCCTGACTCTGCAGGATCGAGGCTATATAAGGCTGCTGCCTAATGGACACTGATCATTTAAGTGGCCGTTTGAGGAACTGCAGTTTTTGTTACTTCCGTGTTGGTTTAGTCTGCCAGCCTCAGAGATTGCTGCTCAGGTAGTACCTCCAACAGCTGCAGTGATATTTCTCTCTATTCATCCTCTGGGAACCACGAATGTCACACAATTTTATGGAAATCCATCCAGAAACTACCGAGATATTTCAACATCAACCAAGTGGCATCGTAATCCATTGACCCACGCTGTTAGTGTGGCTGAAAAGGCGGTTTCTAAACATTTTTAAGTGACCTTGGTGAGTTCTGACCTTATTATAAACATCCACATAAATCACAACTCATGAAGTCAAATCTATTAGAAATGTTTCACTTATGAAGTTGCGAGTACGACATCAGTGCTAAGAAAACCTCGACCCCATTTAAAGGCAGAATTTACCCCCTAAACACTGCGTTTAATGCTTTAATGTGTGAAATATCCAATGAAAATATTCTAGATGTTTCCTAGATAGTTCTTCAGATTTGGTTCCTTTGACAACATTGAGAAATAAAAGTTCTGTGGTTTGAACAATGACAGCACAGCAGTTTGTAATGGATAACTGACAGCTTCCTGTTGTATTAATCATGCTAAAGTATCCTGTTATAGTTGGTTGTTTTATGGCCCAGCTGATTATTGACCAATCAGTTGCCTCCATATGAACATAAAGCATGTGAACATGAATGAGTCAGCTGTGATGTATCTCAGAAATACACAGCCATGATGGAGTGAACATCCAGTCACAGTAAAGTGGAAAAGGCCGCTGTTATCAGTGTGCAGAATTTGAACTGGACCACCTTGGGAACCAGAAAAATACGCAGCACAGATACACACACTTTGCGTCTTTAGTGAGTCTCTGTCCTTTAATCGAGTGGAGCTGTAAGATGAGATGCTGCTGTTTCTGCTGCAGTGAGCGTTCTGCCGGGTCCCGACAGATCCCAGAGCAGCCTCTCTGCCAGTCAGCCGGGCCGGAGCCAGACGAGCTGCTGGTTGGACCCTGATCCCGGGTCGGTGCCAGAACGGCTGGGCTGATGGGTACTGTGAATAATTGATGGCGTTATGAATGCACCACAGGATCCGGAGCTGGTGGCGCTCTGGCCTCATGCTGGCCCGACTCGATGGCAAAAATAAATATCTCGGAAAAATACGATGGGTGGCGTGACACGAGAGAAAAAGACAGAGACGTAAATTAAGAGGATGTTGGCACAGTAAACAGCGTCATGTCGCACTTTGTCTGGGTTTATGTGCGTGGCCTTGGTGCGTTCAAGGTTGATGTGTAACTCCTGCTCCTCTGGGAATCAGACCGGCCTCCCAGCACAGAAATGAAACAACAGAGCAATGACATACAAACACACACCTGTAGCACGTTTACAAGGCAAAAGCATCAGCTAACGGCAGCTTCTAACACGGCTGTCTGACTCCCCGAAGCTGTCTGCACACACATCAGTGACAGTAACACACACACACACATTTTATCATTGAAGAGGAAAGCAGTTGGTAATGTATGAGATGGATGGTTGTAATAAATTAGTACAATTCAGCTCGGAACAATTATGCTTTTATTCTTACACCCTACAAGCTATTCTATACATCATAGTATGATTACAGTCAATGCCCCCCCTTGGTCGTGGGACCTTCCCCTGCATGACTTCCAGATCTCGTCCCCTTACTCACTTCTCTTTATTCAATACACTCTTCCTGGTACTCTCTTCTTGGTCTACAGTGCCCCATTTTTTCTATTAGATTCCTAGTCTATTCGTGGTATTATGACTTCTCGTCTTTGGGAAGGGTATCAGGGACTTGGTTCTAGGCAGATCGGTCAATGAGTCGAACCTTCCGCTATGTAGCATTCATTCGATCGGTGTGTAGTGTTGCGTTGTTCTCGTGCTGTTTCTGTGTCTCCATCTTACCGTGTGGGGAGGTTTTTTGTACTTCGTTGACATGTTGTGAATAGAGGAAGGGAAAGGAGAGGAGGAGGGAGAAGGGTGGGGTAACATTGGAGGTAGGGAGAGAGAACCGAGCAGGAAGTGATCGTCAGACAACCGAGTCCACCCACTCAGACACCACT